TGGATGTGGATGAGGCATGACGCCCAGTAAGTCGGCCCGTCCGGCCAGTAAGTCGTGATGATCCCCGCCATGGTGAGTGCGACGGCCCGCGGGTGGGGACGTGCGCGGGCCCTGTCTGGTCTGCGATGTGGCCGTGCGCGGGCCGGTCTGGTCTGCGATGTGACCGTGCGCGGGCCCGGTCTGGTCTGCGATGTGACCGCGGGCGGGCCCGGTCTGGTCTGCGATGTTCTGTCCACGGCCACCTGGTAGCGGTTCGCGCGGCAGCTGCCACTCCGTGACGGAGAGTGGAAGGTCGGCTGATGGTCATCACCAGTCGTGATGGTCGGCGGATGACCATCACCGGTCGTGCGTCGCCAGCTGACTGGCAGCAGCCAGCGGTCGGCGGAGCGGGCGTGCGGCGGCAGCCCGGTCGGCCCCCTCCGGATGGTCGGGACGCCGCAGCGCTCCTCAGCCGCGGATCCGAGGCAGCGCTGGTGCACAAGCGCCCCACCAGATGATAAGATCTGGGTGCGTTCGGCCAGTCACGGAAGTGGTGCGGCCGAACGTGACCCCTGCGGCCCCTGCAGCGTCGCAGAACGTCGGGCGGGTGGGCGGCCCATCCAAGCCAGCACGTATCAGAGCATGAAATCCAGGTAGATCACGCTTTACAGTCGTGTAGCTTCACGTGAGAGAGGATGCTCTATTTGCAGCAAGACTAACACGCTGAAATGGCGCAACAATGGTGAGCACGCTTATCAGATCGCTTTGATCCAATGCTCACTGAACCCCGTCGTTTCCAGCTCTCTGATCATCGTGTTCGGCACGAGACGGCGTGCTACCAACGATAGCTGCTAGAATGACCCAACTCTCTTGCCTAATTAATTCATATCACCTCACGCACCTAGCGCATGCAGCATTTCCAAACAGTCGTGCGCTTACGTCATCCCAGGCTCGGCAGCTGTTACGTCTCCTGAATTGGGGAGCGGAGATAAGCACTGACGAGGCATTGTTTGTTCCAACATTGCGTCACAGATGCGTGGGGGTGAGGAGCAGTCACCCAGGGGTGCACCGGGGTCAGTCCGCACTCATTTCGGATGCCGTTCGTGCGGACCAGCTGAATGCCTCTCCTTCGCCTCCGGGGTCACCGGCATAGAAGGCCGAGGACTCTGCCTCAGCGTGACAGTGGTGGTGCCGAGCCATGTAGCCCACCCACAAAGGACGCCAGCTGATCCGTAGGCTCACATCTGAGCTTCGAGCTTCCGTGGCGGTATTTCCGTGAGAAGCGTGCTGGGTTGATGGCACCTGTTGGAACTCCGACTCTCCCCACCAGCCGGCTGTGCTCTGCTCCAATCGGAGTGATCGGACGTCGAGACAGCAGCCGGACGGACGGACGCGTGACCAGAAGCGCCGCCTCCCCCGTCTTTTGGCGGCCCCCCCCGGGCGCCCGTCTCGTTACTTGACATCCCAGGCCATTACCGTCCGGATGCCGTCACGTTTATGCATACAATAACCCAGATCGTGGAACACTGGAACTTCATTAACCTACTCTCCGACGGGGCGCGCTGTGCTGGACGTGCAACCGCGGGCCGGCCGGCCGGCTGGTGATGCCGGCGAACGCGGGCGCGCACTCTCCGGCTGCGCTCCTGGCCAGGCGCTGCAGTCTTCGGAGGCGGCGCCAGGCCCGGCTAGGTTCGGACGCGTTCGTCTGATGACTTGAAGTGGCACAATGAGAGGATGGTCAGATAGGACGGTGTGCTTTGGCTGCAGTTTAGGATCTGTCTGCGGACTCTGCGGACGTGGTTTCACCCGCCAGCCTTTTATTTGGAGGGGGGGGGGGGGGAGGGGACGAGAGCTGTGATAGAAGTCGGACGGAGCTAGGGTCTGACGCGCAGAATGGTGGCTGTCCACTTCGCCGCGGACAGCTTTCTTTCTCTTCTCGTGATGCAAAACCCAGGCTGCAGCAGAGCTGGTGACTTTGATTTAACGTTTGAGAATGCAGGAAGAAGGTGATTTATGGCGTTGGTGGCAAAACATAATTGATTGATGCCAGCCTATTTGATTGGGAGTGTGAGCCGTCCATGTCGAACACATCCCCGGGGAATACAGGCGGTGAAATAACTTGGGAAGGAGGAGCCAGTTCACCGGCATTGGGCAACGAGACGCCTGGAGATGATGGTGACGTGCGAAGGCGCGCCACTAAACAAAAACGCGCCAAACAACCGTCTCTGGGTCCACCAACGTGGTAAGAACAGCAGCCATTCCCAGAGGCCGCCATGCACAAGCGTCTTTAAAACTGGTCGTAGTCGAAGCGCAGTCGCCGGCATGGTTACCCCTACCCTGATAAAAAGCCGGCTCGGCGGCTTGTGGATGTCCCCATATCTGGTGCGGCCCGGCGGCAGCGCGGCGGCGCCCGTCGTCATGGCAACGGCAGCCGGCGGCCGGTGGCGGCGGCATTCTTGGCCGGTCCGGTCGGGCGGCCGGGCGTCAGTGTGCTGTGGACCGTCGCGCCGGACCCGCCGCAGCCGCCGCCGCCACCGCGCCGTCGTCGCGTCACCCATGCCTCTGCCGCGCCGACGATCGCCGCCGACGGGCCGGAAACGGGTGCCGCAGCGACGACGGAGGCCGTACTGAGGTGACGCGGGAAACGGACAGGTCGTGAGCGAGCGCGGTGATCAGGTGACGCCAGCTGAGAGCGGGCGTTCCCATGGGAGGATTCAAGCTGTCGCAGCAGACACCGGCCAACATGACCCGAGCTAAAGGAGTACCTGTCGTCACCGAGGCCCATGTAAGTTCACGTTCGGGTCAGCTGACGGGAGCCGCGGGCTTTGTGAGACGCCTATGGAGCATGGACAACCGTTTGCGTGGACGACGCCGCTTAGCGGGCAGGAAGGCGCCCCTGCTATTTGCCACGGGGAGCATACATATGTTTGCCCCCCCCCCCCCCCAGGTTGCAGGCCCCTACCAGCATGTCGAGGGCACATTCCATTATACGCACAGGGGGCCACGGCTGACCGACACTGGACGATTCGTCAAATCAAGGGCCCCTAAAGCATACCGAGGACAATATTAGGGCTTTGGAGGCAGTGCACGGCTAACGCGGGCCTTCTTTGGTTGGCAGGGGGCCCTGATGATCCAAATGAGATCCCATTGAAGACACAAAAGTAACTCCCAAAATTCGTCACTCTTCACGCTTCTGTCCTTTTGGCCTGGTCCTGACTTTAACTCACATTTGATGTAAAGAAGGAGACTGCTGTAGTATATCAATGCTTCGATATGCTTTACTGTCCTAGCTAGCCTGGCACGGCCTCCTTTGTTGGGGTCGATGCGCCGAGCTCGACAGGACGCGCTGTGAGCGGGAGTCCTGTTTAAATGGCAGGCAATCGGCGGCAAACGCGACTCAGCCAGGCGTGTCTGAACGGTTTTGTCCCGCGGCGCCTGGCGACCTCCAAATTGGTCACGTCTGACTGCCCCCAAATAAACGCAGCTCAGATAATTGTACACGGCAACTGTTTGGCTGGCGTTCTGGTCGGCGGGCACGCATGCTGCCATTTAAATGAAACAGAATGAAAATAGACGCTGTTTGCGGAACTGATTTTAAGTGTGCGCCGTGGCACAATTTTAAATCTTCACTTTACATTCGATTTCTCTGGCAGAAGCCTTCGGGTGTCAAAGCGAGATGGATGCAACAAATCGATGCACCATTTACACACCTTTGTTACCATAGGCACTGGATTACTAGGGTAGAATCTGTCCCGGCAGCATTCCATCTTGTACAGGAGTTGTCTCGGTGTAGCCCCATCCGCGGTCCCTCGCTGAAGCGGTAGCAGTTCCGTAGTTCCGTACCCAGCAGACCACTGCCGCAAGTATGCACCCTGGTATTGCATCCAGGTCATTGTACCGAGTTATGCATGCTTGGCTTGTTAACAACTTGGACGATGTGGTTTGCAGTCGGAGCCTCGCCCTGTGTACATTGAGAAAGTCTCATCAAAGGAAGCGATGAAAAAATTCGGTAGCAATGTACGTTCAGAGGCTCCGTAGTGCCAGTGATGTGTTAGTGTTGAGAACAATGCATTCTGACGTAATACACAATAAGGGGATATTGCATGCATGGTAACTTGCAAATCATCTTATGATTATGGTATTTAAAGTTGGCATCCGCAGCAGGGCCGGTGAAAAGATAAGTGAATACAGCAAAAATTGCTAAAGCTATCCCCGCATCGTTCCCTATTTCGCAGATTTTAGCGCGATCCCGCCCTGGTGCGTCATTTGGAACATCTATACGCTGATCTGATGGTGGCAGTGCTTTTAGAGAGGCAGGCGATCTAGGCATTTTCCTTATGCGTCAGTTACCGGTGAACATTTGAAAACGCCTAAAATATGCGAAATGCGAGCCGTTTGTAACGGTCGCCAGCTACAGGTCGGCGTCCGGCGCCTTCGCAAGCATCGCCAAGAGGCAAGAAGCGCACGGCCAGACCGGCGCACTTCCCGGAGTGTTTCCAGTAGTACTGTAGTGTTTCCAGTAGTGCTGTAGTGTTTTATTCGAGGCGCGCCGGGGTTGGATTCTGATGCAGGAGCCGTCGGATCAGCGGGAAGGCGGTCCCGGGCGGGCGCCGGCCATTTTCAAATACGAGGAGCTTCAGCCGCCTGCGGTCTCGTTCCACCTCGGTGCGATCGCTCGACCCGGCGGATGCACGGAGGTGCAGTGAAGCCAGTGCACATACACCACAAATCAGCGGTGCTGGAGGCGATGCTAGCCGTCACCAGATGTAGCCCTGGTCTGTGTGCGCCCGCTCAAGGCCCGCTTGCCTGCCTGCGCCAGTGCAGGGCACTGTCAGGCGTCTGTCGGGCGCACAGAGTTGAACGGCGGTGGTGGGAAAGGCGCCGATCCAATATTCACGCATACTTGACGCTTTCCGCGCGCCGTGTGAACAGAATGGCGTTCGTTGTTCCGTGTGCGAAGGCGTTTCCCATGCTTCCCACCAGTCACGACGCAGGACAAACGCATGCGTGTGGCTGGAGTTCGCCATTCCCAGGATGCCCAAGATTGCCGAAATCCCGACCAAGATGAATAGCCCTTAACATCATTTCGTCAAAGGCAGCTATTCTCATAAGACATTTTAATGAGGCATGTTTTATGGGAACGGCCCGGTCTGAAACGGCGATCATTACACGCCGCAGACAAACTTGTCCGTACATGCCGTCGAAGTCGTGACCTCACCACAGAAGCACACAAAGACACCGTCTGGTTTATTGCAATTTTAGGCACGTTGAATAGACCCTATTCTTTAGCTCTGCAATGCACAGGTCTCAGCAACTCCAATGCCCATTTGCGGCGAAGGTTTCCTCAATTCTAAACATCAGGGCACTCATGAGTCTTCACATACACCATGCAGGGCTTCACAGCAGTCATCCAGCTGTTCCGAAGCCGGTCTTTGTCACTGGGGCTTTAAGACGCACTAAGTTGCCTTTCGCACCGGCTGGAAGGGCGGGCACCGCAAAGAATTGAGCCCCGTATCTCTCGTTGTGTACTACGACGCCCCTCCTGTTCAAAAGCAGCCGTCCACGCGTATGCCTTGCGCCCGTCGATTTTGGTCACGGTTTGGGCCCGCCTCGGAAAGTGAGGCGGTAATGGTGGACGCCAGCTCCACATCCTGTTCCCGGGAACGTGGGAACCCACAGCGAGCTGCCAGACTGGCGACGGTGTGGCAGCTCGCTGTGGGCGCAGTGGGCGGCGATACAGCGGACCGGCCCCCCTCTGCCGGGACCTGTCCCAGCGCTGCCATCACCCAGCCTTCCACGCGTCCGAAACCGTCCAGGACGGCTTTTCAACTCGAGGACGGCTTTTCAACTGACCATCTGCGGTGCAAGTGGGGGAGGGGCTGGGCGGTCGCGACGAGTAAACAAAGCCTTGACAGCGCCCAGAGGCGACGCCAGGGCAGCCTGCTGTCGGAACGTGCGCACGAGCCGCTCTGCTGACAACTTGTGCATGTGCCCGTGTGCCTGGCTGCGGCAGAGCCAAAACGCTGTGGCAGCGACATGTTGCAAGAAGCCATCTGCCCTGCCTTCCTGAGCTCGCCTATGACCGTTTCCTCGGTGCTGGAACGGTGGGCTGACGGGTCGTTTATCCCCCGGCGATCTGGCTGCTGAGCGCGCCTCTGACGCCGCCCCTGTGCCGGACTGGCCGTTCGGCAGTGCCGGCGAGCGCAGTGGGCGGCAGCGGCGGCCGGCGGCCAGTTCCGGGCACCTGCGGCCGGCCCGCGGCGCCCGCTGAGTCACGCGCCGCGCCAACCGTCCGGCCACTCCCAGCCGGCGCCGCCGTTAGCGCGGGCCTGCCCGGCCGCGCCCGGTCACTGGAGCCGGCGGAGGCGGCCGGGGCGGGCCCAGTGCTGCGCACGGCCGCCGCCGTCAGAGAGGGCGCGGCGCCGTCAGAGGCCGCGCAGCCATCAGAGGCCGTGCCGCCGTCAGAGGCCGCGCCGCCATCAGAGGCCGTGCCGCCGTCAGAGAGGCCGCGGCGCCGTCAGGTGCCGCGCCGCCACCACCGCTCGCCGGACGTCTGGAGCGGCAACGCCAACCAGGATCAGGTCCGCCGGACAGGGCTGGGTCGGGACCGGTTACACACGTCTAAGAGCGTCCGTTCAGGCGCTTTCGGCTTAGCGCTGTGTCTGAGTCACGCTGGGGCTGGGCGCTGCTGCCGTGAGGAGCAAGGCGCGCGCTGCTATCTGGGTCGGCACCGACCAACCTGCTATGCATTCATGCATTGTACACGTGTTTCCACTAGAGGCAGGTCGTGTAGCGTGAAGTAGGTCACGTCTTCGAACGACCCCTCCCATGCCGGGTCACCATGGACCAGACGCTCTCTTCCCGGGTCATCCTGGACTGACCACGCTCTTTCTAGGTCATCCTGGACCGACCCCTTTCATGCCGGGTCATCCTTGGACAGATCCCTTCCATGCCGGGACATGCTGGACTGACTTCGTCCATGCCGGGTCATCATGGACCGACCCCTTCCATGCCGGGTCATCCTGGACCGACCCCTTCCATGCCGGGACATCCTGGACTGACTTCGTCCATGCCGGGTCATCCTAGAGCAGCCATGTTCTTGGCGGGTCATCCTGGACCGGCTGCTATGCTAAACAGGTCACAGTCAGTGCACTGATGGCCGCCGGTCTCGGTGGCGTCATAAGGCCCACCACCCGATGCTCCGCCTCTACAATGTCGCTCGCGCGCGGCGGTGCTACAGGTAATGCGCCGGTGCACTGACGGCCAGAGGAACGGCACCGTTTTGCCAAAAAGAAAGCGTGACGGTGAGGTGGAATTTAGCAACGCGGTCATGGAGCCTGATGAGCGGATTCGGTAATGGTATCAGTGAAGGGTACTGGAAAGCGCAACCAGACCGCTCTCCATCCCCACCTGATGATGATGATCTCTTTCGGCACGACATGGCTACAGGACGAGTTTGGTTGTGCGGTCTCGTTGCAGATGTTACATGTCGGCCGTCAGCATGTTTACGCGGTGAAAATGCTTATCATTCCTGCCTTGTCCGGGCGTAGAACACATTTGCTGTACGGTGAGCATGAAAATGCGCTTCCGCCTGCGAGGACGAGCCTGCTGTTGTTGAATTTAATGTTGTGTCGGAGGCCTCGCTTTGAGCGGTCAGCTACGTCATACTTGAATTACAGCATTCAGTGTGCTTTTCTCTATGGAATGAATACTGTCATTGACACTCATCAAGACACCAGGTTAAGAAGCTCTCTGAAAGGCAGGAGACCTGCGGGTGTGCCTACT